ATATTTTGGGAAGTTAATTCTAACATGAAACAACTTAGTCGGAAGATAGAAAAAGTAAATAAAAATCAGTATTATATATACAGTGAAAGCTCGGTTCACGAATTTAATTCGTTCCTGAAGGCCGTTCGTAACCCGAAATGTTCGTAAACCGAAACTATTTTTCCAGCAGGAATCAATGTAGAAAAAAAAGGTCATAGCACAATAAAATTGGAAAAGAAAAGCACGCCACATTACACGAATGTATACAACACGGCGGTCGACTAAGAAATGATTCCGTCCGAGTTAACTCAGTTCGGAAATTTTGTTCGATAAACGAGGCATTTTCATCTCGAATTTTCTGTTCGTAAACCGATTTGTTAGATATGTGAGACTTTCGAGACCCGAGATTGCACTGTATATTAAATTGTGCAATATATATATATATATATATATATATATATATATTATAGCTACTATCGATTCATTGAATAACGCGATCCATATACTTGAATTGTTGACAGATTGTATCAATCGTTCTGGGCCGATTACTTTAATGAGTACTTAATTAGTTTTAGTCAATGTCTCATTAAGTCTTATTAATGAAGTCATTTCGCCATTAATCCCATTAACATTGCTAATTAATTCCTTGTATAATTACTTTTTTATGATACACACACATATACATTTATATTATTTTAAGACTTTTTTATGTTTATACATTCTTTTTATAGATACAAATATTTAAGTAAATGCTCTGTTTATAGCAAACAGTATTAAACAACATTTACCGGCCTGAATGTCCGAGAAATTTTCATCGAAAATATTCGTCCTCCGACAGGAATCGAATCTGTATCCAATACGGAACCGTCATATAGCCTGACGTGCCTTTAACCGATTTGGCCACAGAGGAGCGTTCGGTTAGCAAGGTCGAATTTACTGCCTTTAAACTTCAATCTTCCCTGATTCTCTCACGTACATTCATATCTGCTCATGGCATATCCAAATGTAAACAAATAACGTCACACATTATGGAATAGGCAAAGTCCGACAATTATTTTAAGACATTTTTATGTTTATACATTCTTTTTATAGATACAAATAATCAGTCAGACCAGGTTCTATAGCCTTTGATGGCAACTGGTCTACCACAGCAAGAAATGGCAACCTACTGCAGGAAAAAAATCTGCCTCGTCAGCCATTTATAGAAAGCTATATGATCGCCTAAGTGGTTATCACACATGGCACATAACTGTCTAACTGACTATCCCACGGCCAGGTATAAAATGATTTTAAAACTTTATATTTTTCGATTCTGACAAATGCTATGGCTTGAGGAAGTGTGTTAATCTACAAACATTATTTCCCATAAAATATTTCCCTGCTTTTTTTTTGAAAATTCGATTGGCTGTCATCCATGTATGCTGAACCCAGTTTGCCGACGATTTAACGTATCTAATTTATAGCTGGGTTTGCAGAAGAAAAATTAATTCATGATTATCCCAAAGCATTAGTGGAAAAAAAACAATGCAAAAGAGAAATTTGAACTCGTCTCGTCGGCTCCATTTTCAGCTTAGATACCCGCTAACTATGATTAAGCTTTAAACAAAGTTTATGAAAGAGGAGGATTTCTTTAGAAACAAAGGAAACAGTGCTGAACTGTTATGAGATATCAGTTGTCCTATATAGCAGTGAATGCTCTACAATTTCCCAGCAGTGTAATATAAGACTTGAGGCTAATGAGATGTAGTTCTACAGAAGGATATTGATAATACTACGGATGAAACGACGCTCGGATTGAGAAATCGGAGAGCTGACTTCGAATTCCAGTAGAATCCATTACATTCAATTATGTGCTAATAACATTGGGAAAGTTATGAATTATCTTCTTCTCCTCCTCCCCGCCAGCTATGGATAAATAGCAGGACGCATCGGGTTCTGTAGTCTTGGATGACAACTGGTTTACCGCAGAAAGAAATGGCAACCTACTGCGGGAAAAATATTATGGGATTAAAGAACTACATTAAAGCTACAAAGGACAGGAAGTTGTAGAGAGCCATAATCACTGATGACTTGAAGGGTCATGGCCATAAAAAAAAAACTGAAGAACATGTAATGTTCTACTGGAAATGTGTATGTATGTACCGTGTGTAACATCAAAATTGTCCAGATAGTGTAACAACATAATTGCCCATTCCACAAAATGTTTACTATCTAAAAACAATATTAATTGAGTCTTTTTTCCAGGTTTTCAGATAAGACATTTAGCAAACTTGATATTATTTTTTGTAAGAATCACTAAAAAAACCTTGGAATTATTCAGCTAGAAAGACAACTGGTTAAAATCGTTTTGTGTCATCCCCACTGTCTTCCCAACTGAGCAATGGTGAGAGGAAAAGTGATTTAGGCCTTCAATAATGGTACCAACATTCATTTTCTGGCTTCCATCTTCCAATCCCATTCAAGAATCATCAAGAGGAGGCTAAATAACTTTAAAAAGAGGAGAGGAAGACCCGGGTCAGGAGGTCACAACAGCAAGAGGGATCATCATTTCAACTAAAGGGATCAATTACGAAAAATCCAATTCAATCCATAAGACGTTTGTCACGTGAGAGACGACTGAAAAAAAGATTTGAAAATGAAATCGTACTTGAAACGTGTGAGGCACCTAGTTACGCCAGGACAGAAAATTAGAAGTTTAGAGAGGGCAAAGATCATCTTGAATAAGTTGAAAAATGATAATTGAATAATATATATATATATATATATATATATATATATATATATATATATATATATATATATGCTTTTTGAACCTTATTACTTCCGACACTTAGCTATGATTAATTAATGATGAACATGTCATTTTCGTTTAGGATCGATTTCATCACGATTCTTCTGATAAACTTGGAGAGTAACTATACATTCTTGTTGCTCAAAGTAGAGTCCAATAGTGTCATAAAAGCCTCTGGGAATTCCAGTAATATATCTTTAATCATTTCTAAAATACATCGGTTCAAAGCTTAATGTAACAATTGGACAATTTTGCTGTGACACCCGGTATATTACGAAGAGTGTTGAAGTGGTTTGCGCTCAATCAAGGGACTTTTCTATAAGTATCTGATGTTTAGTCATGTGGTCAAAGACGAGAACTTTCCAGTCTTCTCTCATATTACTAATAGCTTTTTCATCCTACTCATAATTCCAGGGTATATCGTTACAATGATATAAGTTTATTGGATTTTGTTTTTGTTGCCACTACTGTTATTTATTATATTTTTTTCTTTAAACTTAGTCTTATCTGTAAACAACATAATCATGTAATCCATTATTTATAAGTATGTTTAATATTACTGAGTTTTTTTTCCCGACGGTGTATGAGAAAAAAGAGATAAGAAAATATATATCTATATATCTATGCGCTTCCGACGACGGAAACTGATAAAGGAGACGATATGGTGTCAATGTTTCATTTAAAAAACAAACAAATATATCCTCTGTTGTAAATAAAGCTTACATTCTATTTTACGTCAAACCTCGCATGCGCAATCTGTCTAAAATTCACGTTAGGATGCACAATTTAATGAACAGTGGCAAACATTACTAACGAAAGATATCGTAAAGATAATAAACCACCTAACTAACGTCTTCCCCCACTTAATGTCCTACAATTAAGTTTATACACAAACACCAAAAATTTATACTAATTATATCTTTGACAAAAAGGCTTGCAACCACATCATTTTCCTCAAGTGGAAACCCTATATACTATAAAGAGAAAAGGGTCGTGTTTTTACGGCTTCAAAAACGAACCTATCGTGCCATATTCTTTACACGCTTATGGACACACCGCATTGAAACACCGGTACCCGTACGGTCGTCGAAGTTAAGCAACGTCAATCCTGGTCAGTAACTAGATAGGTCATCTTTTGAAAATACCAGATGCTGTAAGCTTAGATGTGTGGCGGAATAATGAATAACGGCTAGTGTCCTCATCGTTCGAAAATTCAATCTCCTGAAGAAGGCCGGAGCGTACAACGACCGAAACGTCGTAAATATGACAATAAAGATGAGGACAACAGTCCGAACAATGTTAATAATGTATATAATTAAATACCTCATCTCAGATATAGAGGCAGATAATGGCTCGGAATTCTTGATCGGAGAGCCGTGTTCCAATTCAGGTTGGTTTTATTATATTCCCTTACGCAGCTATGGTGTAATTATTATTAAGACCTGTATCATTAAGTCCTTGTTGTATCCAAAAATAAAATAAAAATTACTCACACAACATTTAGATTTCGCCATCAAACAAGCCATATAGATGTTGATATGCCGCAACAAATAACCAACCAAACAAAGAGGAAAACTCATAAGAACAATCACCATTAAAATATTTTTAGAAAAGTCACACTTTTTGAAAAAAATGAATCCACTACTTCTCCCTCCAGATATAGGTTAATTAGCCAGACTTGCATCACTAAATAAATAATTATCTCTAAAAAAAATCATACAATGTAAAAATTTATATTCTAACTTTAAATAACCAGCAGGCTGTTGGTAAGTTGGTGGTTGTAAGAGGAAATAAACAATTGATACTTATTTCACAGTGGAGAGTGGACACAAATTCTACTAATTTGGCTGAAGAGCATGAATACAAAAATGCTACTGATATGACAGAGGAGAATGGACGCACAAATGATTCTGATCTGATTGAGGAGAGGGGACGCACAAACGCTTCTGATCTGGTTGAGGGGAGTGGACGCACAATTGCTAGTATTTTGGCTGAAGAGAGTAGACACAAAAGCGCTACTGATCTGGCTGAGAAGACTGGACACTCAAATGCTACAGATCTGGCTGAGGAGAGTCGATGCACAAATGCTACAGATCTGGCTGAGGAGAGTGCACGCACAAATGCTACAGGCTTAGAAGAATGGACAAACAGATTCTACTGATCTAGCTGAGGAAAGTAGACGCACAATTACTATTATTTTGGCAGAAGAGAGTTGACGCACAAATCCTACTGATCTGACCGAGGAGTGCACGCACAAATGCTTCTCATCTGACTGAGGAGAGAGGATGCACAATTGCTACTGATCTGATTGAGGAGAGTAGATGCACAGTTGCTACTGATCTGGTTGAGGAAGGTCGACGCACAAATGCTTCTGATCTGATAGAGGAGAGTGGACGCACAATGGCTACTGATCTGATTGAAGGAAGTGGACGCTTTATTACTACTGATCTGATTGAGGAAAGTGAACGCATAATTACTACTGATCTGATTGAGGAGAGTGGACGCACAAATGCTTCTGAAATTTTTGAGGAGAGTGGACGCACAATGGCTACTGGTCTCATTGAAGAGAGTGGACACACAATTGCTACTGATCTGGTTAAGTAGAGTCGACGCACAAATGCTTCGGATCTGTTTGAGGAAAGTGGACGCACAATGGCTACTGATCTGATTGAAGAAAGTGGACGCACAATTTCTACTGATCTCATTGAAGAGAGTGGACATACATATGCTTCTGATCTGATTGAGAAGAGTGGACAGGCAAATTCTATTCATCTGTGAATATTTTTTTCTCCAGATTAATTATTAAAATGTGTATGTAATTTCACAAGTTTCCTTGAAGTCAATCTTTCATATCGACCGGCAGAACATTCATTTTTGTTAATTAATCATAGAAAATTTTAAAATGATCCAGTTACTGACGTCATGTAACACTAGGTCATTATTTTTAAAAAAATGGTTTAATTTGTTATTTTCATCAGAGAAATGCAAATTGCAATCTTGATTGTAACAGTTTTACGTAAACTGAGGCAAAATGTTGCAATAAAATCCCGAAGAAAAACAAATAATAAAAAAATTTGATTATTTTTCACACTCTTGTTCCGCAAGAGGACAAGTGTTGTTTTTTGATGAAATATGCAAAAGTTTCTGATCAAAACTGAAGCAGTTTGGCGGTGAGGTGAGAGTTGTCTTAAATGACTTCAAACACAAAACGTGAGAGTGTTAGACACAGAAAATATTTTAGCAGAAGTGTATTTTACAGGCGAGATATTGTTATCAAATCAAAAGATATTTCGGATTATTTATATCTCAGAAACAACCGACATTACAAATTATATATATATATATATATATATATATATATATATATATATATATATGACAGGAATTGGAACACCAACCATTCTGCTACGCTGGTTTCTACCAATAAGTTATCATCAGGCAGAAAGAGAATTACTGCCTGATAAAACCTTATTGGAAGAAACCACGCTAGCAGACAGTTTAGTGATTCAATTATTTTCTGTCTTGAATTGGCCTTGATTTATGTTTTTTGAAAATTGTATTGTTCACTTTTTAAAAAATTAAGCCATTATTTAATAAATATTACTTTTTGTCATAAGTTCGACGTATATATATATATATATATATATATATATATATATATATATATATATATATTATTTATTTAAAAATTATAACATAAATAATATTATAAAATCACTACAAAAATAGCCATTTTGTTTCAACACCTTTGGTGTCTTATCAAGTGATGATGTTGAATGTAGATTGTAGATTCCGTATACACCAATCATACACTTATATATATATATATATATATATATATATATATATATATATATGAGATTATAATAAAAAACATGTTGAAATCGCTACACAAAAGCTTTCATGTTTCAATACTTTGATTGTTCTTCTTCAGGCGATAAGTAACTGGCGATTAAATGATTTTTAAGGAAATAAAAAACAAATTGTTACCTATTTCCCGGAAGTTAAAAGTGTTGGTGGGGTTAAGGGTCAGAATTAAAATTAGACTTGTGGGTATGTCTTGATTAGTTAATATCCGATCTACGCTATATAAAAAAAAATATCTGCTCAGAGGATAGAGGTGGTTGAGTTATCTCTTCATGATAAACTAGAACACAGACAGGCCCTTTTCTAGCGAGTTTAAAAAGAAAATTATTATATCTTATAATAAAAATATATTAATAATATATTGCTCTACTTCGTATTGAGCACTTTTAAAAGTAAATGCTACGATCTGTGGATTGTTACTCCATTAGTTTTTTCTTTCATTTGTATATATATATATATATATATATATATATATATATATATATAGTCTCTTGAAAATATATTTCAATTAACCGCTGTTAAATGACAAGCCAATTCTATAAACAACAGTCACCTGCGTTAATGCAAAGCTCTTCAGTAAAATGAATAGAGCACTTCGGCTGATTGGCATTTGTTTACATTCGTAAAAACAATACGCTAGATTTAGCGGCTTCACTCTGCCGAATGAAGATAGCTCAGTGGGAGAAGCTCTGACTGGCACCACATCGGTTGGGTTTGGGTCCTAGCTTGAGGCATTCGGATGTCGTGTCGCACTAAGGAGCTGTGATACAGCGAAACAATACTGTCTGCGAATGACATATATATATATATATAATGTATATTTTGGCCAACAACGTTTCCTTCAAGAATGTTTACTTTAACATGACAGACAAGAAAAACTTACTGTTTTTTATTTATTTATTTTTTAATATTCTTAAATAAGTAAAAAAAATTCAGGTAGAGTATATCAGTAAAAGGACAATATGAATAATTTTTTTTTTAGTCTACATAGATATATATATATTTTGTGTGTGTGTTTGTGTGTATGTGTGTGTGCGTTTGTGTGTGTACGTATCTATATATGCATGTATTATGTATGCCTTTATGAATGTATCAAATGATGGAAATTATAACATTCTGAATGAAAAACACACAAATGTTACCGAGTGAAGAGATGTATGTATAAAAATACAGCATAAGTAATCTCAGTTCTATAAAGACGCCCTTACATACCCCCACACCTCTTCCTGTCCTCATTAAAAATATTCTTGATACCACCATAGTTGCCTTCAGCTAATTGACGCTCTTTATATAAAACACTTCTAGCCAAGCCTCAACCTCAGCCTATTTAACAATGGTTGTAACGTGTCCGCGGTCTTTAAAAAGACACACCAACATGGTATCACGACCACATTTCTTTTGACACGCATTAGAATGACTACAACGTCCACACAATACAACTTAGAATACAAATATTGAAAACATATTAAACACAAACGCCTTGAAAATGTCTAGTGAAAGCGCATGAGATGATAATCATTACGGACAGTTCGTACATTCATTTAGATCCTCAGCGCCTATAACGAATACTGTAGAAACTTTAGAAGCATTAGAAATTATTAGATTTATTTTTCTGTCACATTCAATGAAACATATATAAAAGAAAAGTTGCTGCCCAAATATACACTTTTGTATATAGGTATGTAATCCTTTTCTTACCCGTATAAGAGAGCTCGGATTTAAATACGTTTAAAATAGCTTTTAATACATAAAAATAACATTATTTATTTAGGCACCCATTTTCAGACTGTTACATGCGCAGTAACTTTTTTTTAAAATGGACATTTGTTTATCTTCGTCGCTTCTGAGGTTTTTCAAAAGGAATACGTCAGCATACCGACAATTCGATATAAAATTCATTTTTTTTTTGGTGGTGGTGGGGGGTTTATTAAACCATTCACGTTTTTGAAATCTATGATTTGCTGTTTCTCCCCCATACATCGATTACAATTTCGGCTTCTGCTTCTCCTTGATGTTTGTTCTTTTACTATACGCCATTTTTCTAATGTTTTTTTTTTCTCTTTCAGTTTTAGTTCCTATATATATTTCGACTACAAAGTGTTAGTTTTATAACTGTCGTATTTGAAGATTCTTTGCAAAACTTCAGTAGAGGAGAGATTTACATTAGAGTAACAGGGGAAAGATTTTTTAAAAATGTATGCAAGCCAAATGGAAAATGGGTAACTAAAAAAAAATGATATCACACACACTTACATACACACATACAAATACACATATATATATTTCTTAATATTATCAATGTTATTTGTCGTGTGTACACGTTTTTCAGTTGTTATACCTGTTATATTTTTTGAGTTTTGTCAATTCTTGAAGTTAATAACTCAAAAGTGGCCTCCCTGATGGATAAACGGAATTCAGGTTCGATTCCTGTTGTAGGCATGCTTTTCCTTTAGTAGATCTTCTCAATCAAGATCGGTTGTTATTAATTTGAGTGCTTACTAAAATAATAAAAATGGGGATAGAAACGCAAGCGTGTGTACTCACTACTTAAAAATAATATTTTTAATCATAAAAAACTATCTCCGGTGAAAAACTCCTTTCAATATATATATATATATATATATATATATGAAGAAGTATAGTTTAGAAGTATGTGCTATATTTATGTGATAAAATGCTCAATATCAGAGATAGAGCGTATGTAAATATAAAAGTGAACATTGAAGTCAACACTCAGAGGCGACCGGCTTTTACATGCTAGACGGAATCGTCAGACCGCGTGTGTTGATTTTTTTTGTCGACTTTTTATAACTTTATGAATAGTCGGAAAAAAAACAACACACGTGGCCTGACGATTGCGTCTAGTATGAAACAGCCTGAGGCCTCTGAGTATTGACTTCAATGTTTCACTTTTATATATATATATATATATATATATATATATATATATATATATATATATATATATATATCAGGATGAAAACTGCTTTGGTAGCACACTGTCTAGAGATGGATCTCTCCAATCCGTCATGCTCTTAAGAATCGACAAATGTTGTATAGGCTTTGTTTGTAAAGTTTAGAGGAAAAAATCTGGACAAATGGAAAGAATTATCATCAGCACCAAGGCTAGAAAAGCACATCATTCGTAATCAAATGAGATGAGCACGACACCTTATTAGAATGAGAGATAACTGATTATCTAAGTAATTATTTTATATACAGTTACAATGTAGTAGACATACGAAACAGAAAACTTGTATTATTTTATCTACTACCACATAAAATTGGAATATATACCTCACTACTAGATGGGCAAGTAGGTCCCATCGTTTAATGTTAAAATAGGTGTAACGGTAAGTTCTAGTCTAAATTTATTTTCTTCACACTCTTTTGCCTCCATACTTTCTTGACGACTAGGATCAGCTAAAGTTTAATTGCAACATTCACCGCCATCTTCTGTTTTTCTGAATCATGTTCACTTATAGTTTTCTAATTCTCTTCCAGTCACATTAATCTAACGTCTTTGTGGTTTTATCGCCTTGCTTGGGGTGAAATGATTAAAAATCATTACAGCTTTAGAGTGGTTTCATCAGTAGTGTCTTAGGAGAATATTAAGCATTACGTGGCAGACGGCTTTCATCAGCGGATCATCGAGTAGATTGAGTCATAAATAATTTCCGTTTTTTTTTAATCAAATTTATTCTACAAAAAAAATAACAAACAATGATATTTTTTGTTCAGTTATTTATTATTCATTATTTGCAATAACTGTTCTACTCATCAGGAAAATCTTCGATACGTTTGAGCAAAATTCCGCAGAATTGTGAGAAAGCTTTTATCGAATACTTGAACTT